ACGATATCAACACCTACTGAAATTGAGGTGTGTGATCTACACAGAAATTCTAATGATCAGATGTTAAAATCCTAAAAACCCAAATCTTGAAAAGCTTGATCAGACCTAACGATATCAACACCTACTGAAATTGAGGTGTCTGATCTACATAGAAATTCTAATGATGAAGTTGTGGTATATTAGCATATTCTCATGGCTAAGCTTAATTACGAAGGAATATATCCGTTTCCATGACAATGGCCTGATCAAGTAAACCGATAGATATTCTGTTGCAAACGGGTTAATGATTCTCACACAGTCTATTTGTTAAAACGAGAGAAGATATTTCATAAGCCAGACTAATCCCGTGTTCATCGGTGTAGTTTCGCATTATTAGCTCGGTGTTCGTTCGGGAGTACAAAGTTGTACACACGAGCCGGGGAGAATTTAGAGTTCCAGTTCGAGCACAATGGCCGAGAAACACGTTATATAAACGCGTCGAGTAATTTTCCAAGATGTACAAGACAGGTTAACATTCTCCACTTTTACGTGATTTACTCGTACCGTTCTCATTTTGTAACAGAGAACCACGTTCGGGACAAACCGTGTGCCTCGTACGCGGGCAACCCGTTTCTTGTCACGCGCCAACCGAACGCTCTCTATTATTTGCAGGTGTGCATGCAAACGAACGGGATAAAATACGAGCACTCTATGGCGAAAGTGCTCGCGATTCAATGATGCCGGTTATTAAACCGCTTCCCGTCCAAATAAACAACCGTGGAAAAAGTAAGCGTGATTTCGCCGGTGATAATTTCCTTCGACAACAAATTGCCGGCGCGACGGGAAATGAAAAAAACATCATACGTCTCGCCGGTAGAAAAACTATTTTCGAGCAAATCTGATTGAATCCGAAATTTACTACTTTTTCGACAATGTAAATGATGTAAATAATAAGACTGAATATTATTAATATGTTCATGGATAATTATTAGTTTCTTTAACACTGAAACTGCCAAACCGAATGACTGGTTCACAAGTTATTTTAAATTATAAAATTTGTTAAGATATTTTTCTTGAAATGTTGACATCAAGATAAGGCGTTGTTTTCACCTATATTTAATCATTCTTTATTTATTCTCAATAAATCAATCAACTCTTTATTTATTCTTTTGCTTTATTTTTAACTTCCAATTATAAGCCATGTATTATAAGCTTGGTAAAAATGGGTAATCAACTTTTTCCTCAATTCCCATAAATAGTAAAACAGTGAAATGCGAACAGAATAATAAAATATAATAGTAGAAAAAACAGTAAAACTGCTCAAACAATAATTGTCCTCTCCCAAAGAATGTCCAAACCACGATGAGATCACGAATATTAGCATAAAACTGCAGTTCGAATGACGAGCGTAAAAAAAAATAAAGAATTTCAGCATCGAAAAGTACACAACAAAGTTTCCGAAGGTATTCAATTTCGAAATGTTTTTCCCGCTTCTGCGTCTTTCAGTTTGGTTCTCAAGGCACGAAGAGAACAAGGAATCGAATAATGAGCAAAGTGTGCTCCGAAAACGAACACGCAAATACGCGGTGAACACCGGATGTGTACAAATTCGTGGTACAAGGAACGTCCATTCTCCCGTGTCGAGCAAAGACAAAAGATCTTGGCGATCGAACAACCTATGTTTTCATTTCGATGCAAATGGCAAAAAGCGAAAAAAGGGAAAACAAAGCGATCGAACCTCTCGATACTTTGAAGCTCCCGGAAGGCCAATGAAAAAGGGACGAAGAAGATGAGGAACAGGAAATCGAAACGATCGTTGGTAATCGATAACGTGCAATAACTGGCTCCGCAATAATCGCTTCGATATTTGGATGCACATTTGTACGGAGTGCTCGAAACATTCGAGTGTTCGACAGCCGAGACGTCGAAAAGTTATATTTGTCGAAACGAGTGCGCCCGTTCGATTGCTACGGACTTGACAATTTCGATCTGTACCGATAATTGAACACTTACACATAAAAATCACAATGTGATGGACTATTCGTTTTTTACTGTTGTAACTGTATTTTTATGAGGACAGAACCCTTGTGTCGCTGGGTATATTAATAATATGTAAACTTGTTAAGGCTAAAACTGGTTTTAATGCATTATCTTTAGTAACTTGTTTTATGTGTCTTACATATGTTCACTTTCAGTCCGCATTTGAATACGGTAATTGACACAGTAGAAGCGGTCGTATGTGATAAGACAAACCCTCTAAGCCTATATTTTTAATACAGTGAACATAAAACGTTTACAGTATAGCCAAACGTATACGAATTATCAATGACTAAATTATTAACTACTGCAACTAAATAATTTTCTTTAAATCTCAAGAGTCTCATGAATGCCTTTATATTAGCATCTTAATATCAGAGTATATGTATTATTAAAATTATTAACTTTCGTCCATGACCTTTCCCCGATTTGATTACGCGTTGCATTGATTATATCCGTAAATCTCTGTCGAAAAAAGAAACAATTATCATTGGTATCCCGTTTGCACTTTGTTCACCCTGTGACCTAGAAATGGGCGTTGGAGTATTACGTAACCCGTCACGCTTGCCGTACCGGCAGCATGCAAGTATTTGACACAAGTTCACTCGAATAAGAGCACGATCGAAAGATTTTCAGAGTTGATATCATAAATAAAAGTAAGTGGAACGAAGTTAAATCCTTCGTACACTTTCGTACGAATGTTAATATAAACAAATGCTAATACAAAGGAAACATTCTTCGCCAGTGAAGAAGGAAAATAAGTTCGTCTCTCAATGTTTGTTTACGGAGTGATAAACTCGGGGATTATCATGAAATATAACGTGCATGACATTCTTAGGACGATATACAGTCCATGGCCATTGGCGTAAGTAGAATTTTGTATGGGGTGGGTCAGGTCCAATAATTTTATTAACAATGTCAGTCACACTAGGCTCGATCAATTTTGGATTTGAAAATTATAGAATCAACTTTGGAACTTTTAATTCGGAAATCTGGTAATTTACATTTTTAAGAATTTTTTAATTTACTTTCAGAAATTTGAAGACTGAAAATTTGTATGTTTTTAATGAGACACATGAGGTATCCTACGTCCTATGTACTTCGTATTTACACACGGAATATTTCACAAACCAAATCCTAGCTTTGGAGCTTAATTTATATTTTGGAGCCTAAGTCTCAGAGGCCAATTCTCATTTTTGAACAGTTCATATTTTTGGAGAACCTCTAACCACTCACAGTTACGCCAATGTTCATAGTTTCCCTACAACCAAACGATGACAAACTCCCCCTACACTTGTTGTTATGCAACGAAGCGTGTGGACCCGGCTCGAGTGCCGGCTAGCGAAATGAGCGAAATAGCGTTCTCGTGGCTCAGAGCGCACGTGCATCTCGAAGGTTCACTGTACGGACACTTTTGTACACACAAACGCACATAACCTTCCTCCCAGTTCAAACAAATCGTTCGATTTCACTGGTTCGCTCATTAACGCGTACAAGACACGCGTAGCCATAAAAATAAAAAAGTAAATGACAGATAAAAGCAAGACTCACCACAAACGTTCAGCCAACCCTCGACCCGACAAGGATACTCCAGCTTCATCGTGGACCCTTGCAGCTGAACACCAAATACCAATGACGTATCACACAATTGCACTTGTCACATAAGAAAACGAATGCAACGTGTTATCACTGTTAAACAATATCCGCGGCACACATTCTCTCGCGGGTTGACCCAGCACCGGACGAATTTTTAAGCCCTTTTAAACGAAAATGCACGAAAACGATACACGAAATAATCACGGACAACGTAAACGCAGAATATATCAAGTGTCGTTCGTACAAACGCGAGCGTAAACACTGTCTGGCGTGTTGCGCGCGCAAACCGTCGACGCGAACCACGCACACCGGCGAACAAATCCGAACTGACTGAACGAACCCTCTCGCGTCCTCGTTGAGCCGATCTTCTTTCTCCCTCCCACTCACGTGACTTGGCTGCCAGCCCCTCTCATTTTCAGGTGGTGCGCTCATCCCGCATATTATTTTCCTTTTTCCCGATTTCGAATACTTTTTCTGAAACAATCGCTTCGTTTACTTGGTGAAAAGATGTTACTGTCACGAAGTTTCTTCTTGGACTGAAGATGAACTTCCACTCGATGCAAAGACGCGTTCGATTTATCGAAAATTCAAATCGAACTGCCGCCATTTTGAATACTTCAATGATCGTTGAAATACATATCGGAATTCGATAAAAGTGTATTCCCTTTGTTACTTTCAAACTCAATGAAAGTTTAATTTTGCTTCAATATGGGAACTATAACGAATTATTGTTACATTTGTTGGTTGGAAAAGATGTATTTAATTTCGATCGAAAAATCGAATCGCCGCCATTTTGAATACTTCAATGATCGTTGGAGAACAGATCGAAGTTCTTTGATATAATTGTTATTATGACTTTGAAACTGAATTAAACTTCAATTTTATGTTAACATAGTAACTATAAGAAATTATTCTTATTTAATTTGTAAAGATACCATATTTATTTTCAACGTTTAATCCTGTCATTTATTTCAATACTATTTTTTGAAGTTTAACTAATACAGTTTCTTCTCAACAATTTGTGACTATTATATATAAAAATTGCTGTATTGCTTTAATGAACTGACAAACGATTTGATAAATATAGGCTTTATTATACCAAACTGTTCGCTTATGATGAAAATTATTAACTGTCACTATGCGTGTAATCGTATTATGTATTCGCGAATATTCTATGTGATATTGTTCGAACAAAACTGACGCCTGCTTTTTATGGATAAAGAAGACTTGGACTAGTATTCTTAAAAGCGAAGTAATTTATTAAATACTCACGTTATCAAACGTAGCTCGGCATCATCGATTCGAACGAGGGAACGTTACGCTAGATGACTGAACTGTCAGATAATTTTCAAATTATCTTGGTTCGTCTCAAAGCGCCACCTGGCAACGAAACGTTTAGTCAGTCACTGGCAAAATGGCGCTCAAGGGACAAGTTGGTCAAAGTGAGTAATAAAAAATAATTTAATCATCCGCTGTAAAAGCTAAATTCTAAAACATTTTTGTGCTGTAGTATCGAAGCAATCGCGTGGATTCTTTTCGTACGAAAAATATATCCCCTACACCACTGTCAGAATCCGTAACCTCCAAATGGGCGTATGTGCTGTGATGATTTCATCGTTTACGAAGCGGCTGCTAGATAGAAATGTCAAACCTATATTTTAGAAACGTATTGCATTTAACTTTTATTATTTTATAGGTACCGTTGCATGAAGTAATATGGATTGTCAGTAGATTTATTTATTGAGATTTTTAGTTTGTCTATTGTAAACGCGTTTTATTGATATTTTGTCTTAATAAACATTCGCTAGTCGCAGTAGCCTTGTACAACATAGTGATTTTGATTTGTCACAAATATAAAATCAATAGTGTCTACGCTTTGCAGACATGTTATTAGTTTTTAAATGTATGTTATTTTTGTGTTTCTATTCGATCTCTTCCGTGTATTGATAATTTAATTATACGCGAAATTACTAGAACAAAGTGTGATAGGATTGAAAAAATCGCGACGCATATTATTTGATATAACATTTATGTAATCTCAATAATCCCTTTATTTAAAAAAATTAGAAGTAGACAAACAAAATGCATTTATAAACCTGTTCGTTAATATGTACATTTTTAATAAAATTTTACTTGCACATCGCGGTACCTTTTACTCATCATCAATAATTAATGTTCAACATTAATAAATACCACGCATTACAGAATCTTAAAAAGCTATTATTCGCAGTAGTTCATGTGAAATAATGCAATTACTTCATTATCTTTCTATAAAAAGATTTCCGCGGTACGATAAAACTAATCACCCGTAATGCCGGATTGACAAAATCTTTTTCCGTCCTAGATATCTACCACGATACGCTCTATTTTATTTTCCTGCGTTATTTTAAAGTGGGCCCCTTGTTTTTTAAATACGACCCTGCCGAGGGTGACGTCATTGCTCTGTAAGACGATCAATACGTGTTGAGAGCGCCAAAAGATTTGTCGTTCAATTTTAGTTTCTTTATCTTTATAAAATTTAATTAAAACATTTTATTGTTAAATATCATTATTATCCTGATGTACACTATAATTAAATTGAACAATTATAATCGCGATCACTTCTTTTGCGCGCGAAAATAAAAACGTTTTCAAAACGATGCGGTGAGCAGCGTCAGAAATTTAGCATGAACCGGCACTTAACACGTGTATTATAAGAGGGCTGTGAACACTGACAAATAATATTAATATTATAACGTGTTAATAGCTTAGAAAAGAAATGATTCTACATTTTTTTTACAGAGATTATGAATGAAGTCATTAAACAGAAGAAGACAGGAACTGCAGGAGTACAATGGCGTATTTTAGTGGTGGATCAGTTGGCGATGAGGATGGTATCGGCATGCTGCAAAATGCACGATATCAGTGCTCAAGGGATTACCCTGGTTGAAGACATCAATAAGAAACGGGAACCAATACCCTCCATGGAGGCAATCTATCTAATCACACCGTGCCATCCATCCGTTCAAAAGTTGATCGAAGATTTCAACAATCCCGCCAGAACAACGTACAAAGTCGCCCACGTTTATTTCACGGAAGGTACTATCCGATGATCGATGTACGCTCCAGAATTTTTGGTTCCAACTCCAAACGTTGTCATGAAAACTTAGGACAATTTCGGATACTCTTGGGTCATGTATCAGTAATTATGCAAAATAGGGTAAACTGCAATGATTTAAATATATGTAAAAATCATTGAAATCGGCGATGCGTACCCTGTTCTGCTTAATCACTATATCTTCCCTCTGATTGATAGACAAAACATAGTATGGGTGCGTTTAGACTGTGCGAGCACACGTTTATGTTTTCAAGGTATTTTTTTCTACGACCGCTCTCAAGTCAGTTGAAGGGAGTTAAATTTTGGGGCTAGTTTCAATTTTTAAACTTGAGTTATAGCTAACAGAAAATCTTTTCAAAAGACCTTTAAGTCTAAACATACCCTAAGATGATTGAAAAGAGACTGAAAATGGGCAGACCGGTACATTCAATTTCAACGACCCACTAGTGAAATTCTAAGTATATCTCTTTACAGCGTGTCCTGATGAGTTGTTCAAAGACTTGTGTCACTCGCTGGTAGCTAAAAGCATAAAGACACTTAAAGAGATCAACATCGCTTTCATACCGTATGAAGAGCAGGTAAAGCAACGGAAACGAGAAAACAAATGTTTGATAACTTTACGTTCTCCGTGGTGGCGGGCACACAGTCATACACATCAAAGATACACCAAACATCCTTTACACATATCGATCTTACACCCTTTATGGCATTTCCAGTCACGAACCTACTACTACTTTTCAATTTCTCGACCAACGATCACAATGATATTTAAACGCAATTGTTTGACCTTTTCCCCACCCCTTACTCTCCCTTATTTTGTACAATATTCACATGTCGGCACGTACTAACGACGGAATGCATTCATGCTTGCACGCGACCAGTGTGTCCGGAGGAGCTGTTCAATGAACTCTGCAAGTCTCTCGCCGCTAAAAAGATCAAAACCCTCAAAGAGATCAACATCGCTTTCCTGCCTTACGAGTCGCAGGTGACGAATATGAAAAGGAAAAATCGTAGCTGCTAGTCGTAGTCGCAAAGTGCAACAGTTACTTTAGATTTTATGAGTTTCACTAAACGGGACGCGAACTCCTCCGCCTTCTTCAGTTCTTTATTTTACAGAGTAGAACATAGGCGAAAGACTTCTGTAAATACCTTACATGTTACCTTTATCCTTTCGCGTTTATATTTTCGTTCTTTAGTTTCTCGTTTGTCGTTTCGTTAACGCATGCATGTCTGTATCCTGTTATTTATAATCATGGTTTTGTTATCCGTTTGTTCCTTTTCTTTTTCGATGTACATACGTAATCCGCTATTAATAACACAGCTTTTAATATAGAATTACTATTTAATCGATAATACGACAACCATTGGCGTAATTAGAACTGTCTGGGGTGTGACCAAGTCTTCTAACTTTCCTGGTAGCGTCAACGCTTCGAGCATGATCAAGTGGTTTTTGGAAATTTGGATATATGAAAATAGCTTTGATAATTTCTATTAAAAGAGGTATCCTATTTTTGTCGCGGTGTATGAAGAGCCAGGTCATATTCTGAAGAGGCCAAGTCGACCCCTAATCGCTACCTAGTTACACCAATGATGACCATCAGTGCAAAGATAACGCTAATGCGAATGCATAATTAAACAGGTGTTCTCCTTGGACTCGCGCGAAACGTTCCCTTGCTTTTATAACCCTTCCTTCTCCAACTTGAGAACAGCCAATATGGAAAGAATAGCCGAACAGATCGCGACACTTTGCGCCACTCTTGGAGAATATCCATCAGTTAGATATCGAAGGTATTGTATTGTATAATGGAATTAAGTTCAGCTGATCATTATAATATTCCTCTTTTACTTCAACAGCGACTTTGATCGAAACGTGGAACTAGCACACATGGTTCAACAAAAATTAGATGCTTACAAAGCGGATGAACCGACGATGGGAGAAGGTCCTGAGAAAGCACGTTCTCAGCTACTTATTCTAGACAGAGGATTTGACTGTGTCTCTCCACTGTTGCATGAACTGACGCTGCAAGCTATGGCATATGACTTGCTGGACATTGAAAATGATGTATACAGGTAAATAATATAATTTCATCTATAATCTTATATTTTCTCAATGACATATTAACATGAAATATTTTTGCAAGATTTGAAGCATCTGCGGGAGTACAAAAAGAAGTATTATTGGATGAAAATGATGATCTCTGGGTAGAGCTTAGACACCAGCATATTGCTGTAGTATCACAGTAAGTTCAAGTAATTTAACAATCACTCCCTTGTATAATAAAACTATAGTTATACTGGAATATGTATTTGTTTTCAGAAACGTTACCAAAAATCTGAAGAAGTTTACAGAATCAAAGAGAATGCCGCAGGGTGACAAACAGAGCATGAGGGATCTTTCACAGATGATCAAGAAAATGCCACAGTATCAAAAAGAATTGAGCAAGTATGCAACGCATTTACAGTTAGCGGAAGATTGTATGAAACGTTATCAGGGAAATGTGGATAAGCTGTGTAAAGTAGAACAGGTACGTAATACATAAAGTATTGTTGTAATAATCTAACTAATTTTGCATATTACGTTATTAGGACTTGGCAATGGGTACAGACGCAGAGGGTGAACGTATTAAAGATCAAATGAAGAACATTACCCCAATTTTGCTTGACCAAACCGTACACCATTTAGACAAATTACGAATTATCGCATTGTACGTTATTAGTAAAAACGGTATCTCCGAAGAGAACCTTAACCGATTAGTTCACCACGCTCAAATATCTCCGGACGATAAACAGACCATAGTAAACATGGCTAATCTTGGTATCAATATTGTTGTAGACGTAAGTAGTTTCACCTGTCAATCAATAACAAGTTATTGTGCACGTATTTTTATTTGTAATGTATCCTTAGGGTGGTAACCGAAGAAAATTGTACACCGTACAACGTAAGGAGAGAATTACGGAACAAACTTATCAAATGAGTCGTTGGACTCCGGTTATGAAAGATATCATGGAAGATGCTATCGAGGATAAATTGGACTCAAAACATTTTCCATTTTTGGCTGGACGGGCAGCAAGTTCGGGATATCACGCACCTACTAGGTATAATAGTATTTTCATTCGTGTAACTATGATTTTGAACTAATAATTATTTAAGCAATACAGTATCCTTACATATTTATATTACTGTATCATTATCCGTTTTGAGTTTAAGATATGGACATTGGCACAAGGATAAGGGTTCACAAACCATCAAGAATGTACCACGCTTAATCGTTTTCGTAGTAGGCGGTGTTTGTTTTTCTGAAATACGATGCGCTTATGAAGTTACAAATGCTTTGAAAAATTGGGAAGTAATAATTGGTACGTACATATTGAAATATATTGAACGCTTAAACTGATATTAATATTCATTTACTTTCTTCAGGTTCATCGCATATCATAACGCCGAAATCTTTCTTAGATGATTTGAGCAAGCTTCACGTATAAAGAAATTTGTTCGTCATAAATAAAACGAAGACACATTCCTGCATTCCTAATATGCCATTAGCTTCGGCTCCGTTCAATAATATCAATTATGAAATTTCATGGATGATCTCGATTGTATAATTAAAGTGTAAAACGCCCAGTCAATTGTTCAAGTCGCACAGTTATTTAGCGACTAAGAAAAAGACAAAAATTGGAAAATGTCATATCATAAATATCATTTTGCCGAGTTGCAAATGGTGCCAGAAGAAAAAGATATCCGGTATTTAAGTGCCTGCGCGAATAAAAAGTTAATGATTAAATAAAAATGTTGGCAATACGGATGTAGATCACACGGAGATGCTTAATGGTACTTTAGGCTCACGAATGATCTAGCCCCAGATATAGTATGTTATCCTACTGTCATACTATTCTTTTGTTAACCATAAATGGCAAGTTTAGCGATGGAATTTGATGTAATGTAGAGAAAGATCGTGATATTCGTGTAAATTTCTCGTTATTAATGTTTCGTTATCTCCCGCTTCAAAAATTGTTGACTGTTATCGGTATCGTGGAGAAGATTCAGTCTTCGGTTTCAATCACAGAATCAATAACGCTTAGCAATCATCATGAACAGTATAAATATCGAATACAGTTGTGTGTGCTTCAGTTACGTCGCTGTCAAGAAAGACTACACGATGTCAAATTAGTATTTATTTTCTGAAGTCTACACAGATGTTTAAGTATCCTTACTTTACAAATGCAAATATTTAAATATCATATTCATTGACGTAACTAGATAGAAATCAGGGTGGACTTGGCCTTCTTGAAATATGAGCTTCCCACGTAGAAATGTAGGAATAGTAAAGATTTAGAAATTTCCAAATCCCTAAATTATCAAAAGCCACTTCTCAATATGAGAACATGGACATTAAGTAAAACTAGGAGACGTGGTTCATCCTAGGAAAAAGTTCTAGTTACGCCAGTGATTATATTGTATAATAAAAGAATATATGTATATTTAGTTATTTATTATACTTTGTATTATTCGTTTACTAAACAAATGTTTAGTGTGCATAGTGCAAAATGCTGCTTATGTCGAAGCGTGCATTTACATAAATCTAAAAGAATGTCCAACAACTAAAGACTTATATTCGTTTAATTAAACGTAATATCTTTACCGTATTTGTAAGTACTTACACGTTGAAACTTCTATTGCACGTACAAAAAAGCAATTCTAGATCACTTTCGATCTATGGAAGTTAGAGTCTGTTGATCATCGTAATAATTATTAATGTGTGTTAATATTGCGATTACTTAGCGGCGAGATTATTACAAAGTTTACGGTATTGATTATTATATAATATATTATATGGATATATATATATGTATGTAGATTGTAGTCTAAACAAAATGTTCTGCTTATAAAGGCCTACAATTCACTCCAATTTTGTTTATTTTTTTACGAACACCACACCACGTTCAGTAAATATAAAATTTTGAAAAACTATCAATTACAGTAAAAATTGAATTACACGATACTGGTATAATATAGTAGTACAAGACACTAACTCATCACTTATATAGAGAGAATATGAAAATATTGATTATCAACATAAAAATTTTTTTATAAAGAATCTGGTTTCAACCTAATAGTTCATCACATGAAATTTAATTATTTCAAGCTGAGAATTTGAAAGTAAAAAAGTAAAGAAATGAGGGATTTGTAAATGGAATAATTGATAAAATAAAAGGTTGAAATGAATTATTCTCAAACGTTGAGTAATCATTTCAATGTATTTCTACTTCATTTGATCGAATCAGAATTATCTTAAGACAGGACGAGGTTGCAATGAAAAACTATCAGCACGGTTACTTTCAATTAGTTATTAATAATTAAACCTTAGAATAATTAGCATAATTCGTAGAGATTATAATAACGTATAATATGCATTATTTTTTTTATCTGTATTAATAGTATACACAATGATATTTCTTATCTTCTTCTAATAGATCCGCAACATAAGAGAAAACGTCAAACATGAGACAATAATAATTTCAATTAGTATCTCTCCTATCGATGACTATATATAATACTCTCTTTCATTCTATCTCACTCGCTCTTTCCCTCGCTTCCTCCCTATTTATATGTATATTTATATATAACATGCAAAATTACAAACTAAGAAAGGTAATTCTGTATGTATGTGTAATTAATAACTTGTAGTAACTCTTGTATTCACAATTGCCTTGTAACATTAATTTAAACGTCATAATCAACGTCTCTTTTTCTTATTTTTCTTTTTTAGAAATAGAACAGACAACATAGTTGATTTTGACATTGTTAAGTAAATGGAGATTCGAAATCGAACATAATTGTTTACCTGTACTACCATCTCGGATTTGTGATCATCGAATAAAAGTCGAATAAAGAATTTTTTGCGAAACATGAATAGTTTAACTGTTCTAGCAAAATAGAAGAAACGATCGCTTGAAATGCGTCGTTAATGTTACCATGCACTCATGCACAGAAAAATCGTATAGAAGGTTCAATAACTAACTGGTTTTTTAAACGACATGGATTACGCGAACACAGGAAATAATGTAAGGTATTTTTCTGAATAATAATGGTGCGGTGGAAAGTCAGGGGTAAACGTGCGAACAAATTTCACCTAATAAACAACGGTTCTCTCTTACTTAACAACATCAAGCATTTCTTTATTTTAGCCATTTATTCTTCATTTTCATTATTATTTATGTACAACCAGCTTAATGTCTTGCTATAGTTAGTCGTAATAAGTCTACTAAAACTCATGTGCCATTGGAGATGATGTGCGCCCGTGGGAACTTATATAAAAAATTATTATTTTTTTGTTGTTGTTGTTTGATACAGCGGAGTGATTTTGGTGTTACTTACGAATTATTACGTCTTTACCTAGTAACTTATACTGAGATCTAGTAGGTTATACAATCTATCGGCCTCCCCTTAAATATTACAAACCTTATCACATATATAGAGGTGTGTGTATTAGTACTTGTTACTTTTTTTATACATAGATATCTGTATTCTGTTTAAATCGCTGCCAATGATTTCTCCTCGTATTTACAATTACAAACCACGTATTATACAATCATAATACCTAACACACTCATTCTCACTCTCATTCCTATATATCCATCTTACCCTCGCTCACCCTCAAACTCACCCTCTTTGTTAATTCGTTCACTTTTATAATTTTTTCTTTTTTTTCTTCATTTTAGAATTCGTGTCACCATTGAGCTCGGTTACTTTTTTAAACCCGGCGCGATCTTACAATCCAAGGGATTCTTTCTCTAGGACACTTGCGATTGATTAGTCTAACGGTACAACATAGATCGAAAACGGTGTTAAAATGAATTTTAAAACGACGGAATCGTCTGATTCGATCCGCTCGATCTCTGGTCACGAATCGATCGAAGCATTTTCCGTATTAGTAACAACTCACTTAAGACACAATTGAACAAATAGAACGGCTCCCACAAAGAATGTCGTTAAAAGCATTAGGCTAGAACAATGATGGGCAAATCGAATGCCCGCCGACATCACGGGCACCGACGAGACGTCAGAGATCCACAGAAATTTCAAATTTTAAAGAAATTGACTACTCGTCGATGTCCGCATCGTTTACAGGCTCATGCACCGTGACCTCGCAGGCATAGTTGCACATCGTCGGGCTAGAAAATAAACGCGTGCTGACTTCGTGTGAAAACCTTTGAATCGTTGCAAATGATTCTCTCATTCGCGGAAGATCATTCGGAGGATATTTCTTGTTAGAAGAGATCCCCTTAATCCGACGCGACAATATCTCGTCGCATCATATTCTATCCTACTCATCGTAATATCAAACATATCGAATTTGCAAATATTATAGATGCCAATATATTATGTATACGCACTTTCTAAAATCTTGTCTGAATATCGACGATTGTTACAGGCCACACTGAAACTTGATTCGACTTATCTCTACTGCACAATAATTCCGTTATTTGTCCGGAACACTTTTGTTCGACGTATCATCTATACCGAAAGAACATTTTACAATTTGCGAAAATCAAAAATAAAACCACGATCTACCATTCTTCATTTTTCCCCCTTTTTAATATTACAAACGACATCCTTCTCGCGAGAAATCATCCTACTCCCACCTCAGTGCACACGATAACAATTAACCATACGGATGACTAAATCATTGTATATGCTAAAGGCGCGAACGTTGATATCGCAGTGAATAGATTGCTAAAGGTTGAGGGCCAAGATTAATCGTAAATCTTGAATTTTGATTAACGAACGACCGAGGACGATGATCCCGGTACATTAAAATAAAAGGACGCAGGATAGTCTAGTGTATTGCTAGAATTAGTGTACACGATCGTTGACGAGATCGCGTTGATATGAAAGCGCACACAACATATGAGAATAAAGAGCATTCCCAAAAAATAGGTGCTCACGTTTTATTATTTGGTCGCAGGGCCGGCGCGAATATTTGTGGATTCAGGTTTGAAAATTTTGCGTGGACAGAAGAAAGTATTTCAAGTTTGGAACGCTTCAAATCTAGAGCGTTTCAAGTTCGAAACGTTTTAAACTTGGAACGCTCCAAACTCTGAAGACTATTAATTCCAAAGACTCTAAATTCGGAATACTTTAAACTTGTAATGCTTCAAATTTGGAACGCCCTAGATTTGAAGTTCCCAGCACTTCGAGCTCAAAACGCTTACAAATTTGATAAGTACCCATAAGCATATAATACATTTGTATAGAGCCCCGAAAAATATACGAGCGTTTCATATATCGCAGAGCTTTTTAAAGCGCAGTGTCGGGTTTCGTGCCAGCCCTGTTTAACAGAGGTTCTTTCGTTCATCTCCGATGCACTTTAACAACGAAAACAGGATTGCGAATAACGGCGTGAATGCTCGCGAACTTTCCTCTACCTCTCTCATTTTTGTATTATATCTTATTTTCCCGTGCGCATTATTAAAATTGGTCGCGAACGAAGACTCATGATTAAATTGTATCGCCACTGGAGGAATATTTCGTGTGATATATAATAATATATTCAGGATATATCACTTGTTCGATCGTTACGTTCGAGTCAACGGTACACTAGCACTTAAAAAATTGCATTTCTCTTTGCTGAACGCATTTTATACATAAATAGTCACGCACACGCACACATACACTTATATTTATTCTGTACAAGTGTGGACACCAACGTCGCGATCCTCGATATCGGATACACGCCTCCCACGATTTCCTGTTCGTTATATCCTGACACGTCTATCTCGTTACGCTCGAGAAACCTGAACGATCATTCCGAACAAATGTAATGCGACGGAATCGAGTCTAAACGCGAGTTTAATAATCATAATTAATCATAATAATAATCGTAATAATAATATTAATAATAATAATTATAATAATAAATCATCTGTATATATTGTAATGTCGTTTAAACACGGTCATCTTTCGGCGAGGGGTATTTTGGCATTTGAACGCAACGTCAAATCTTTCGCGATTTTCCAATCATTTTTCTTTTTTATTTCTTTTCCTACCTCTTATCGATCGTGTCTTTCGGGTAACATTATTTGACTGCAAACATTTACATCGAATAACGACACGATCGGAAAGGTCGAACTTTGCGGGACCTATTAAAGATGAAGTTACAGAAACGCATAATAAATAAAATAAAACGTCGTGCACATCCGTGTTTTACGCTCTCTTTACTTTTTAAATAGAACGAAAAACGTTTACTCTACGACAAAGTAAATTCTCGACGATTTCTCAATGCATGTATATGTTCTTCCCGAATAATCATTTAGTGTCTCTATTGTTGTTCGTAATTGCAAAATATTTGTTCTAATATCACGTAGAAAGGAACATGTACTCGTGAACCGTAAATTCTCTGTTTGATGAAGCAAAAATAAAATCAAGCCTGTTCTATTAATGCCACGAACGATTCGTGCCCAGCGTAGCGTTCCTCTGATTCCAAATAAAAATGTCATTCAATGCGCTACGTTAAAGAAAGACATTACTAGGTTTGAAAAGGCTCTTAAAAAAATAAAATTCCATTTAATGCAATAATTTAATAATAATATTAATAATAATAATAATCGTAATAATAATATATCTCGATAATAACTTTCGTTATCAGTAATGTTGTGTACCACTATATCCACTACTAGAACTTCTACAAATTCCAATACTTTTCAAAAAATGAATCCCACTGTAATAATAATAGCAGTTAAGTTAATAGTAGTACGTAATAAATCCAAATTTTGATTAATAGTTATTTTCAATTTAAATATCGACTTTTTGTACTTTTTTTTTTGCCGATTTAATGTTTTTCACTCGAGATGTGTTCGTGCACGTTGCACAAAAGCGATTTACGTATTGTAAAATGCTGATCGCCCGATGCACATCGAAAATAACGTCTCGAAATTATATCTATATAAAATTATATTAGAATTATGTTAGCAAATTTTCCTTTTTTAATAATCCACTTGCGATCAAACGAATATAATTCTCTAAATAATGTCCCACTTACGAATCGATACCGTGTCACGCTTTTTTTTACTGCGATCCTCGAAGCATACCAAGTATTTAAGGTATGTACATCGGATCTGATCTAATGGTTGGTAGGATCGAAACTACATCATTCTATAATCACCTTACCGTTACTCGTAATAATTGACGACTTTGTTCTAAGGTGAGTTTATAAATATTTTTTTTTTCAATTCAACCGATTGGCCCTGTTTTAACTCCTGAAAATCAATCGAAATCGATGTGGTTCTCAATTGATAGTCGTACGGGCGTAATCGCGAAGATAGACACGATTAAATTCACCAGTGTGTTATGTTTGCATTAGGTATATTTCTCTATTATTATTGACTTAACAAGCCTACCTATTTCGTGATTATAAATAGTATATATTCATAATCAAGAAAGAAATCTGCAATGAAATTATTAGTAATCGCTAATAATTATATATGTATTATTGGCAGAAACATTCGTTTATGTAATCCTACCAACGATTAATGACTGAATGTGGAAAAATATAAAACTTAACTAAATGTACACGACTTTTACTCTTCTCCACGCTCGCTTTTGTACTCATTCATTCGTTAATTAACCGCACACTGTACACGCTCTCTCTCTCGTTCTCTCTCTCCCTCTCATACGATATCTTCCTTTCATTATCTTCTGTGTAATATTTTTTGTTTTGTTTCCAAATTTACATAAAGTACAAACTTATGAAAACCGGAAAAATGTAACACAACAGTCAGTGTAGCATTTTCAAAGTGTCGTGTAAGTATTTATCTAATTACATGGTCACACTTGGGTGTCCGTCGATTACACACAATTAGTTTTACGTGATTTGATAAACTGTTTCTTTGTAGCCCGGCCAATCCGGGCCGTGAAATTTGGGTTTTCCGTTGGAATGTCCCAACTCGCACCACCATTTTCTTTTTTTTCCTTTTTTATTTTTACTATAACGCCGTCTTCACGTTCGGCTTATTGTTATATTATTGTTATTATTTATTATTGTTTCTTATTGACTGACGTATATATCAATACGTTTCTTCGTCCAGCGCCAAACATTCGTCCAAGTCCTGCCCGGTTTCAGTAGATTTATAATGAGCAGCAAATAACATTATAACGATTCCTCAAACGCAGCCATCAAATCACTTTGCAAGTTGATGTCAATTTGCCCAGCCGCCTGAAATAATAAATATACCCATTCTTGGCAAATTCGCCTACGAACAACTGTAGACGACTGTCAAACACCTACTCGCGAATATTATTTTTCTAACTGAACGTTTCTTTTTTTAATCAATACTAATTTCCTCTTCAATAATATAATCTCTACGCGCAAAATTTATTATCGTTCTCTGTTTAATTATCTGTTCTCTTGATTGTAATTCTGTCGCATATAAAATGGAGCTCAAATTGAAAATGTATGTCACAGAAAAATCAAACTCCTCTAGAAAAACTATGCTAGGACTTACCGCTTCGCGGCGTCGTCGTTCCTGTTCTCGTAACCTCTGACGCTCTCTTTCTGCCGCGGCTTTGTCTTGACTTGGACTACTGCTGTCGGTATCGACAATGGCTTTCACTTCTTCCGCTCTCGACGTAGCAGTCATGACGTTTCCTTGTTGATCACCAACAGTTTTCCTAACTTTGTCTAATGCGTCCTCTTCTTCTCGTTCTCTTCTTCTTTCACTTTCTTGCCGCAAACGTTCCCGTTCCGCTTGTTCCTTTTGTTGTCTTCGCATCTCTTGTTGCTCCAATAGAGCTCTTTGCTGTATGAAAGAAATTGATATTTGTTGTACATGTAGTCCATACATGTTACACGAAGAGAACATAGAAAACAATATAGGTATCTACATATTGCAACAAATAGAATAGAATGAAATCATTATATTGTTTATGACAAAAATATTCATACTAACCCTATCTTGTTTTTCCTTTGCTTGTTTCTTGAACGCCTGGAACGAATCCCGTGCAGCACTCTTCATGCTACTCCCTGCTGCAGACTGGGGACTGGATGCTTGAGCCAGGGATGACCACGACGAAGCATTTTTCACATTTTGTTCTACAGTCTATGTATTTAACAATCATATTAAATATTCGTTGACTAAAGGAATAGTACAAAAGCAAAGAATTTTGGAAGAAATAAATTGTTAGCAATATAATGCAGCAGTTTTGAAAGTATGGAGTGAGTCGAGAAAAATGACACTTTTCGGAAGTAGGTCATAAACCATAAAAGTTTGAAAAGATCCATGCTACAGAAGATTACGTTATTACCTTATTCTTGAAGGCTGATGCGAAATTTGACACTGGATTTTTGGAATCCGGAGGTGTCATCTTTTTCTCAGGCATAAGCTGTGAACTTGAGTGATTTCCCATCGGTGGCATTCCTGTATTCATTTCTGCAAAAAGAGCTCCGGCTAGAGCAATGGTATTATATATTTGATTAGTAAGCAGTTAATGTAGCGATCTAAAATATGAACACAGAGGAAGAAGATGTATATTGAATTTGTAACGAAAGTACACACAGTAATTAGCTAAGCAAGTTAATATTCGAGAAAGCAATATGAAAGCGTTATGTAATGTAAAGTACATTTGTTATAAACACAGTCATGTTAATATATTTTAGCATGAATATAATGAAATAGCAAATGATTATAATATATCAAGTTGCTAATAATTAGAAATGAGTAAAATGAGACACGTAAGTTTACAAATTAAAAGTTCGCTACAATTGCACAGCACCCCTTAGAATACATGCAACATAAGTCATCATGAAACCTACCATCCATGGGTTTTTGAGGCATTTGTGGTTGAGAAATAGGTACTGGTTTTTCTTCTTTCTTTATTGGCATTTGAGATATTTGCATTGGCATAGAAACCATAGACAGAGGGTCAAATATTGAGCCCATTCCGCCCATGTTCATTCCCATACTGAGTCCAGGTATACCATTGTTATTCAACATGTTAGGCGGAGAATTCTCGCGTTTGATATTAGAAAATCCATTGGAATGCTGTTGTGACATTGTAGCATTATGGGAATTTTGTATACTGGTCAATGGCGAAGTGGTATTTATCATGTTTTCCAATTGATTGTGCATCGACATATGCGTGGCCAATCCTGGTTGTAAACTCATATTAAGGTTGGCCATTGTTATATTTCCCAAGTTTAAATTAGATGCCATACTCGTAGGCATCATATTCACTGGTGCCTTTACATCTGGCATTAAATTTAAATTGGTGTTATTGGTGGTTGTATGCGGTGTTTGTATCATTGGTATGTGCGGTTCTTTTTTTATCGACATCGTTTGTTCCAACGATGTCTGTGTAGTAGGCACAGGAGCTGTAAGAAAAGTTTTCATAACATTTTCAACTAGTTTCTATACGTCACATGGTTAATTGCAAACTCAAGCAAGAACGTAATTATAAAAAAGTTAAATCACATCATGCAATTAAATATGTACCTAGAGTATTATACGGTTGCAACAGATCTGACTGTTGATTTAAAGTTGTCCCATCCGTGGGTACTGGTGTGTTTGTATTTGAAAAGGAACTAACTGATGTAGGTGGCTGTGGTGGCTGAGGCACAACCGGTGAAGCTACTATAGAGTTTGTATTCGTAGGTGTAACACTTGGTGGTGGAGTTGGTACAGACACTGATGGAGTTGGTGGATTAGAAGTAGTTGGTGGTGGTGGAGTAGGCTTTTTTACAGGTGCAGCCGTGGCCATGGACGTAGATCGTGGCGGCTGCGCTGGCATAGATGCGTGACTCGCGACAGGCATTCCTTGACCAGCTGTAACAGCCGCTACTGCTACAGATTGTTGACCATTACCACCTAATAAAATTATCAATATAGTAATTATAAATATACGACATAACATTCAACGCGCGTTAAGATAATACGTGGCGCAGGGATTCGCGCTGACTCAAGCAGAGATTCCTTAAGTTGGTCTGACTCACTGGTGGATTGTAGATTAAGATTTTTAAAGGTGGGATTTTGAGACTCTTGAAATAAGAAACTTAATCATTTGAAAACTTGGCGATTGAGGAATTACCGTGTCCAAAAATAGGTCGCAGACTATAAAAATGTAGGAAATCCTACTTTTAAGAATTTGTACGTCACAGTTGTGTACAATTAAATGATACTACAATGAAGGATGTTACAAAATTATGTTAGTGATATGTACAATGGTATATCAAGATATGTACATTTTCAATAGCTCTTAATACAAATAAATCTTATACATGTACAATACAATGTCTTACTCATATAATATTATGGTGTATTGGAATGAATTTCACACACCTTGATCTGAAGAAATATTGCTAGGTTGCGTTACAGCTGGTTTAGTTATTGGTCCCGTAGAATTTGTTGGGGGTTGACTGTTCATTAAAAGACCTCCCGTGTGATTCAGTGTAGGTGCCTAAAGAGTGCACTGTTGTTTAATATATTTTGCATAAAAAATGTATTATTATGTATACCAGGAGGCTCATGTTACTTTTAAATATAAATTACTAATGTATATTATGCATTATAATACCAAAGACTTGCGCTATCAATCTTTAATATTTTTAACCCTTTGATTGTATGTACACATTAATATTAATGCAAGCATATTGAGTATCAGCCAATGAAATAATAAGATAACAGTCAGTAAATAATACATCAAAGAAGTAATCAATCAAGTATCAAAAACTGTTTCTTTTTTTACTTTTAATAAAGTAAATTTTTAATTTTAAAAATGTTAAGAAGAATCCACAATCAAAGGGTGAAATACAAATCGAATATTCTGTATAATGTTAAAACTTATAATGTAGAAAATATTAAATTATAACATATAACAAATTTCAATTATAATATAACAATTTCGGTTACAATAGAAAATGTACAATACATTTTTACAATAATACATGAATGAATAATAATGTATACAATAACTATGAATAAATGTTGCTCATAAAAATATTATCTTACCGGTGTTACAGTTGTTGTGGTTGGTGGAGGTCCTGCATTTTGTGCATTCTTCTTTGTTTTCTTTCTTGGGGGACGATTCGTAGAGTTTCCTGTAATTCAATGTAATGTGCATCTAACTGTGAATACGTGCAATCGACCAATCACTTTCTCGTTACAAGAGAGAGATCGTTGGAGTTTTAGTGAAATGCAGTGTGCAGAGGATACCAGCCATGAATGTCGTGTTCGCCAAGTAAAAAAGATGCGAAATAAACGTTAAATACATTATCAGAAACAAAATTAAAAAACTTCCAGCGTATATTTTCTAATAGATTTTATTCATATGCTTATATTATAATTGTATCACTGTGTACAACAATGTTAATTTAAATATCTCAATTGTATGATTTCTTTTTTATTTTTTTTTTTTTTTTTGTGGACTTTCATCTTAATGGTTTTTTTATATTAAAAAATTTTTAATGCGCAGAACAATTCATTTTCTCTCATTCTACATAAAGTTAGTTGTATTCAATTTATTTATGAATAATCGCGTGTGCATATATATACATATATATACATAAGATGTATATGTATATATATATGTATACACATCATAAATACATACATACATATCACACGCGCGCGCACATACATAATACACGCTCACGTGTTGCGAAATTGCCGCACATACATATATAACATTACATATATATGTATGCGAGAACATGCGCCTTCTACCTCATGAGAATAATAATAATAATTATAATAATAATAATGATAATAATAATATTAATTATAATAATAATAATAAAATAATAATATAATCATAATAATGATTATTACAATATAAGAATCGTGACAGTGACGAAAATGATGATTACAAAATGCTGACTACAAAAACCATCAAACTGCCTTTTCTTTCATTTTCATACAATATAATGTAATATAATATAATAACGTAATGTAATCATAGAATTAATTAATGCAAATAAAAGTCACGTAAATAGTACAATATGGACTCAACTTAAACATGAAAGATACAAGTGTGTCACGCTCATACAAAGATAGTTTCAAACATGGATTAAAGTCGGAGTTAGCACAATATTGAGATCGGTGGCAAACCACTCCTGCTCGATGTTCATAGTCACTGATATATATATATAATATATATATTTATATATCAATTACAAGCAGCGATTCTATATACTACATTTAATTGCGATTCATATCCATTATGAATCAATTCTCTTCATCAGTGGAATGGTCGATATTAGATTAAAACTCGTCAAATGTACAAAGAACGGGAGAAAACGATTGCAATGAAATATAACAACTAGCTAAGAACATCGAGTAGAAGTTCCAGCGTATCTTAATTTATATAATATAGTTAACTGGACCACCACCAAATGAGCTAACTCCGACTCTGAACGACCTCAAAAGAATCGATTCATTTTCTTCTTTGCTTTTAACTTATTTCACTCGTCTACTTTTGTGTATGCATTTAGAAAAGTCTCCTGTGTGTCGCTTAATTCTTTTTCGTAACTTACAACTATTATTAATATTTTATGATATATTAGTTTTTACTATGTACAAAACGCGTATGCTTGTGTTACTGTTGCTATCCAATCCGTGATACGCAGAAAACAGATGGAACGCACGAATAAGCTCCTGAGAGCGATGAATAATGTTTCTTTTTCTTCTTTCAAATGAAAACAACGCTTCAAACTATAAGAAAATATCGACCTCGTTAAATCTGCTTTTGCGTATAACGACGTCGAAGGAAGAATGACGTTCCAGCCTGGCTAAAGATGTGAAAAAATTCAGACGCGTGCTTGTATATTGGAATAAATGCTACAAAAATTTTGGAAGGCAATATCGATATTATTATAAAATGCCCTATATCTTGTGTTACAAGCTAATGGTGATTGTATTTTAATAGATGCACAGTTTCTATCTAATTCAGCACACGCCGTCAATTTGTTTTCATATAGTCTAACTAATTAATTGGAATTTTTCTATTTACTTTCAATATTTTTCCTTTTTTTTTTATTCTTCTTCTGGAGAACACAAAATGATAAGTTTCATTTCTGATCAACACCTTAATAATTATAATTTCCTTAAAAATCAACAAACAATTTTCCAATTGATCATATGCTTTCTTTCAGTAAAGTCAGTAATAATAATAATTAAAGTCTTCTACTGTATTTTTCTTCTGGAACAGTAAGTACGCTGCTGACTATACGATTAATGATAACATTAAATTGTACTGAGTGGGAATTTGATCACCTTTTTTTTCTTTTTCAATCTTTGTTATGCAACATTTTGAAGCATAAAGTGCTTTCAGAAGCACCTTAAAATCTTATATCAATTACGTCCATAACTTCTTATGTATATACTTTACTATATATAAGAACTAAATTTACATGATATTTCAACAAAAAACGCTATCATGGAGCAGACATTTACACATAGAAATATAAAAACAAAATATCACTAAAATTAACCTTGTTCAAACTTGTATAAAAGGTTTTCTAAAAAAAAAAAGAAACATTTTTAATAGGACGGGTTAAAATTAATATTATCTGAGATACTTTTCACGACGCGAATATTTTGAATCGGTTTTATGTATATTATGCATATTTCAGAATTTAATCGCTGAGAATGAATCAAATGAAATTCGTTTTTAACAAGGATAAATATTACTTTGTATAGCAAGGTATGTAAAACCACACCGATTTAAATAATTAATTATTATCACTGTTCAGAATGATATCGATTTAGTAGAATGAAAATGCACTAACTTTCAAGTTCAAGTAATTTCAAAAATGAAGAAACTGACAATGGTTATCAATGAAGAACTAGTGGTAAATAGAATAATGAAACGACGATTAGCAAAGCTTAGCGGAGTGCAAACAATGTGTTTGGAGGCTAGGGTGCCTTGGTTGTATCGTAGACCATTTCCTTATCCTGCTCTCGTTCCTAATTCTTCTACCACTTTTCATCCTCTCCATTTATTACAAACAACATTTCTACCCTTGACTGCCTGTGTTGTTCAAACACTTGCCTTTCTCTGATATGTTAACATAAACCTTGTATGCTCAAAGTCATTAATCTTACAACAAAATAAATGGAAATTGTTCATCACATCACATATCACTTTCTCCGCACACTATGACGTCTGGTTTTGTAAGAAATTTTTTACTTGAACCCATGTACTTGGAGGAAGATTTAAGATCTTAGTTTAGTTTCATCGTTTCATCTAAATAATATATAGCGGTGTACTATTGTACCAAAGCATTTTCATGAGATGATAAATCTTAATAATTGACTTTTTACAGGAAGCACCACTTCTTTGGCTTTATAAAAAGTAAACCTAATTAAGAAATAGAAATAGTTAGATGAGGTAATATCAGGTTACGTATCTTAAAAAATATGTGAACTCTGAAATTTTTCTTGCGGAGACAATATTTAACACGAGAGTGTATCTAATTAAATTCACTATTTGACGCGAAAGCTGTGGATTATAATAACCTTAGGATGTGGATTTGCAAATCCAGCCACCAATACACATTGTCTGCATTTGTTTCCCGTGTGTGTAATAATATATCACTGCCTAATTTGTTCCTCTTTAAACGTTCACCATTTTAAGTCCACACAGTCTAAACTGTGGAAACAAATATAGTGTTCAGAAGCCTAAACACAGTTCTCACGTCACTCAGGTAATAAGTGTATATTCACACTTGACGACGTTGTTAATATATCACTGTACTATATTCCAAGAAATGATACGACATGAATGAATCAATGCGAGGAAACAAACTTAATGATTTAAAAAACACAGTGATACAAGTAATGCTCTGCTTATCGATTAATGTAAATAAATATTAAATTTGCAAGAGTTAATATATTGCATGATGTTGCTTGGGTTACGTAGGGCAATATAATCGTCAGGAAAAGCTACAATGTATCTTCCAAGGTACTAACATTTGACACTACAGTCCCTGCTGTATATCGTGTTACTCTGTAGAAACTATAACAAAACTTCTTTAGACGTTCACTGAACCTTATCAAAGCAAATCGTTGTCAAATGATCACTTTAACAAAAAAGTGTTTTCCTTGCACATTTAGTCAAATGTGAGACTGCAGTGAAAAATTCAGTAACCTTGAATAGCAAACTATACTTGACTTTCGAGCAACAGAATGTATTGTCAACACCGACAGGGCAAGAGAAAATATAAGTAATCATTTTTAATCAATAATATAATTTGTGAAACAAGCTGGCATGGCATATGGTATCCTCTAAACACAGTCTGCACTCCACTAGCTCACCTTTTCTTTCTTACCATTGCATATTGTCTTGTAAATTAAATAAAAAATTGTTTAATTGTGTCAAGTTTCAATTCTGATAAACGGAACTTTTAGAGATATATCTGTTTCAAAATTTCCATGTAACTGTAGATAACTTTACAATAATTCGTTAATGTGACAATAGTAGTGCATCCATTGTAACTATCGTAATGAAACTTGACACGATATTCGTACTTGCATTAATATAACGCAGCACTTAAGCTACACGAATAACGCCGTCCTAATAAATACAATTAATAAGCAAGATTTAGCAGCTTAAGAAGATATTTGCGATGCATTTGTGCAGTCAAACCCCCATTTGAAAAATTTCTTTAAATCTATTCTTTAACTTCGCCTCGTTACAATGTGTATGTTGCATCAATAATGTTGCACCGGTATTTTCGATTGTTTTAATTGCCAATACAAAATTGGTTAGGCACAGAGTTTGTATTATCTTTTAAATGCAAAGTTATCACCAAGTCACAGGGTATTAATTTCTTTTATGCAAGACAGTAATTTCATTGAACTTGTATTCTGTGAATGATGCAATTATTCTAATATATTTCATTCAAATCAATAACCAATATTTTAAGAACTGACACTGTAATATTATCTTCATTGTATATTTCCATTTGAACAATTTTTATACCAATCATGAAACATTCTCATATATTTGCATAAATGTGTTGGATTGCACGCAAATTCTTTCTAGTCATATAGTATTAAAACAAGAACAATATACTCGAACAAAATTTGTAAAGAAGTTATGATTTTATAGAACATGAAATCCGCAAAGATAAATTGAAAAGTGCATGAACAGTATCATTCCTTGTTTGCGATATGAAAGAAATTAAAATAAAAAAGGAACAAATAATTTTGTTTTATATTAATATATATAATATATATATTTATATATCGAGTACCCACATGAAACGGTGAATAACTTTATTTAAAATAACTAGGAGATTCACGTCTATGATTTTTATACTTCACTTAAAATAACAGTTCTTTTGTTCTTTTAAACAAACACTCTTACTTGAGAAATCAATGAATCATAAAAACTTTTCATCTAGATATGTATTATTACAAATATAATAGAAATACAATATATAAATATATTGCTTTAGTATGAGAAGAAAAGTAAAGTATTCAGTAAAAAGGAAAATAGTACGTATAGAGTGCTTGTTGAAGATTTATAAATATATATTGTCTTTTTAACGTTTCGAGCATAAACGTGAATAGAAATCTGTGCTTTTTTATGGAAAGTTATCAGTAACAAATTTCACGAAAAATGCTGACTAAAAATGTCGACTCCCGGAAAGAGAAACAGTCGCAAATAACCCCATAATTTTAAATCTCACAGAAAAATTAGTTCATATTTTCACGACAGCTACTTATTTATAAGTAGTTCATTGTTCCCAAGTAAGGGTCTAATAATAGCAACAGTTACATGAGGTTCATATCTAACCTGCTTCACTGTCGCTCGAATCACTGGAGCTCGAAGAAAGTGAACTACTGCTGGAATCGCTATCACTGCTACTACTACTTGACGCTGATAATCTCGAAGGCCCACTAGCTCCTCCAGTTCCAACTACATCAACTGATTTACTACTGTCCTCTGTAAAAAGCATTTAAAAATAATTATACAATTTTGTAATTAGAACAAATGACAATGGCGCTTATACTATTAAAAAATTCAATTTGACAGTAAAGATAAAGTACCAACCCTTCTTAGCGGTTTTCTTAACATTGCCTAACTGCCCTGTAACATCTTGTAACCTTTTTTCTAACTCCTGTTTCTTCTCTGCCATTTGTTCATCCTTAGATTTACCACTGACTTTCTTATCTGTGAAAAATGTTAAAAGCCCCAATACTTAACCAAATAGTATTACAATAAATATATAGTTCCGACGAATAATATTTAAAATAACATTTAAAAATATATCAAAGAATAGATAACATAAATAACCTAATTAATAGATGTTTAAAGCATATTATTATTTTTTTAATCTTCATTATGCAGTAATAATTATATAGTTTGATGTAAAAATATGGAAAATAGAAAATGAAAGGAAGCACATATATTACGGTTTCAGTTATTGAATAAGATATGGAATTAAGCTTACGTGGCTTTTTTCTAAGACATGAAGCAACATAGCTTTCTAATTCCCTCAGTGTGGATGGTTTTAACGTTTCAAAGTCAATTTCAATTTCATCTGGATTCGAATCCCTTAACGAAGGCTCCCGAGATTGTATTATATGCACAACACGCCCTAACTTATCTCCTGTAAAATTAAAAATAAACAATGCATTTCGACAAACCAATCGAAATATTTTCAGCATGTGAAAACTGCAATCTCAGTAACAAGAACCTACCGGGTAATTTATTGATATCCAAACTAAGTTGTCTTTTCTCGTCATAAGACATTGGTTTAGCATTATCTTCATCCTCCGAATCAAATGTGATCGGAGGTGGTTGACTACTGGCATTTTTCTTTTTAGTTCCAGCTGATCTGCTATTTGCTTTTGGCCTTTTAGTTGCAGCATTCGTTGTTGCAGCTTTTCCAGGTCCTCTTCCTTTTCCCTTTGGCTTAGCATTTGCCGTTGTTGGCAGATGATGACTCATACTTCCTGTCGCATGAGTTTTATTAGGTCCTACTGCTATGGCTGGATGATGAAGATCACCACCCATCCCACCCGGCATTTTCAAGTCACCTGCCCCCATTGCAACACTGGCTATACTAGCACCAACACTATCAGAGACACTTGGAATTCCACCACTTGGTTTCATAAGTTCTTTCATGGCACCAGTATGACTGGCTACAAGGCTACTACTCTTACTAGTCAATGGCCTTGATTTTGACTTGTCCGGTTTCTTCTTTTTACTCTTCTTTTTACCACTTTCTTCTACCAATTTCCTCATTCGTTCTTGCATAACTTTCAGCTACAGGCAAGGTTAAACTTTTATGTTAGACACATAACAAAAAAAAATTGTTAATAAAATAAAGGAGGAATAATGTACCTCTTGCTGTAAAGCAACCAATTTTTGGGTACGTTCTTCGTCCGAATCATCACTCTCAGAAGAACTTTCAGATCCCGAGCTACTGGCACTACTACTGCTAACTTTTATGCCTACCATACTTCCCATCGGTTCATCCGGAATTTTTGCATACCTGGTTTATCAAAAATTATATTTCGACAAATAAAAATGAAAGAACTAATAGGTTGTATCTTCGAGGTTTGTAAACAACGAACCTCATTTCAAACACATCTTGGAGCTTCCTAGCCATTGCTACGACGTCATGGTCAGGAGGATTGTACTTATAACAATTAGTAAATATGAGTCGCACATCACTAGCGAATTCTTGTGCTGTTTTATATTCACGGTTGTCCATTTTCGTCTGCGAAAAGAACAATTACACTAAACACATCCTGTTTTTTAAAACAATAAATACGAGTATGTCATAAAGACGTTCGTAACTTGGAAAATTAAAAACAAACTATTACCTTCACGGTACCAAGATCCATTGGTTTTTTGATAATATCGTGGTAATCGTGAAGACCTAAGAGTTCCGCATCAACCGGTTTGTAAAACGGCCATGCATAACCCTGCACATTATTGGGACGTAAATTATAAATATCGTTTCAATTATGTTTATCATCTATTGATTAAGACTAAAATAATTACCGAGTGTTTTTTCGAGAATAGTTCTTTCAGAATTTCGTTACAGGACTTTAAAGCTTCTGAGAGTTTTTCTTTCGACTTTCCAGTAGTATGCTGAGGCTGTAAAACAATTAAAAATAGTAACAATTACAAACAAAAGTTCCTCAAATCTTACTATAAATTGCAGAAAGTAGCAGTTTTACAAAAAAGAAAAAGAAAAGAAGCATACTGACTATAACCTACAACGTGAAATGAATAGAAAGGAACTATAACATTTATATATCTATATGTTTTTCGAAGAAAATGTTTTTAGTTTTATTTTTCTATTCAAACAGTTTTGTTTGATATGATAAGACAACACAAATGAAAGGAAGGAGCATGAAGGAGTAGTAATAAATGTACCTGTTGGGCCATTGCCCCAATCAGGGGCATGTTGGCCTGGTGGAATGGCACTAAGCCGTCTTCCGCTTGCCTCGTTGGCTGAAACAGCCACGTTACGAACTCTTTGTTAATGTATTAATGAATGATATGATTATAGCGTGCAAGGAACAAAATGCTTAACATACATAATGTCGAAACTTATTGAAATGATCATTGAAAATTCCTGTAGAGCAAAATGATAAATCTGAAGTTGAACTGTTAGAATTTTACTGGTATATATTAAATAATTTAAAGAAATTTGTATGTACATTCTTTTCCGCAAAAAACACTTTTACTGTGTCGATGTTTTGATCTGATCATTTTTCATGTACACGATCAAATGATACTGCATATTCAATATGAAGATCATATGAAGACACACACGTGAATGTTTTAGAAAAAAAAAATAAAAAAACATGATGCATAAATATCCCATTAAATATGAGGATGTAAATTTACCTTCTTTATTTGTCTGCCAGATTCTCGTCTCGCGGGTATTTTGGCATTTTTAGGATCCATTTTATATAAAGGTTCGAAAGAATTCGCAGTAGGAGTTGTAGTATCAGCCTTTCTCTTCACCCCCTTTTTAACTTTTGCAGGTTGGGATGGAGGCATTACCGTAGGTGCAGTGGGAACTTGAGGAGGAGGAGGTACAGCAGAAGCTGCTTGCGGATCCATTGCTGGTTGTGCATGGTAACCGCTAGTTGGAGGGACCACTTGTTGAGGCAAAGAGTTATGGGTAGCCATAGGAGTAACACCCATACTCGAAGGAGGAGCAATAGTAGTTGTATTAGTGCTCCCAGGTACTGATGCAGGTGCTTGGGTGCCAAGAGGAGGCATAGGTATTACGCCTGTTGTTCCAGCAGATGTAGCTGAAGGCGTTAAACTATTTGGTACACTGGAGGTAACTGCAACTGCAACAGACGAAGGTCGACCTCGACCTGTACCTCCAGCGCCTCCTGCTACACCACTAACTGGTGCTCCAACTCTGCCAGCTTTTTTGCCTTTCGGTCCCTTTGGAACAGGGGGTTCGAGTTCCACTTCTTCTTTTGGCATTTGTGCAACCTAATGATTTAATGTTTTTAACACATCTAATTTCTGATCGCAGGAACAATATATATTGCTTCCTTAATTAAATTGTTAAGAACTAATTTAGAGGAAATAACTACCTTTGTAAGAAACAATTTTTCGAGAGCTTGTGCCATAACCACAACATCTTCCCCAGGTTTGTTGTAGACATAGCAATTGGTAAACATTGTATTGAAGTCTTGGATACATTCCTTCCCACTCCAGTAATATGTATTTTCTAATCGCTTTTTGATTGTGCCAAGATCCATTGGTTGTTTTATAATTTTGTGATAATCCTATTAAATTAAATGACTTTGTATTCTTGTAATATTTTGCAGTGTTATAAAATATATTATCTATATATAAATGAATGATTAGAAGATGAACATTATGTTCACATACTGGCAGATTGAGTTTCTTGGCATCTACAGGTTGCTGAAAAGGCCACGCAAATTGATGCTTCCATACTGGCTTGAGTACACCTTTCTGAAGAAACTGTAGTTGGTTGGTAACACGCCCTGGGCGATTAGGTGGTGGCACAACAGGTGGTTGGACTACACCGTTTACCGGTTCCACGGGTGGTTCATCGCGTGGTGGCGGTTCCTTTGCGGGAGTTGCTGGTGTAGCCGATGTCTTACCAGGTGCACTTGTCTGCATTATCCAGGTTTCATTCATATATTTCTCATCAATACAACTGGCTTTTGTTAGTGAATTCTATTACTACAGTTATTATATAACACTAAAATATTAAATAAGACTGAAATTTCTTTCCGCAAGGCACAATTCAGGCCACTACTTCCTTTTTATATGAAATCAATGTTTAAAGATTATGAATTGGATATTATACAATGCATGCTTTGTTATGATTTCAAATGCACTATCACGTTTCTTAAAAAGTAGAAGTTATCATTTTCACCAAAAATAATATATACAAATTGTACTACAGGGTACCTTACAAATTATTATAAAGGTATTTAATTGATTATATAACAATTTTATTGTATTTTATTATCATACAACTTTAGGAACACGAGTAAGGTTCATGCAACACGGAACAAGATAAACCCATTCATGCAACGAGCGAATTAGGCTGCTAAATATTGAATTCCATAACCACAGGCAAGCAATTTAGAATTTATTTTAATAAATATCTAATCAAGTATATAATCAAAATATTTATATAGTACAAAAATATTTCCAACTGAAACATAATGGCAACTCTAAGTCATTTCATACATTCATGCAACAAACACAAAACCATAAAAAAAGTAAGCGAAACAAGATAAAATGAAGTAAAATGAAACAAAAAATGAGACAAAATAAGATAATTGTAATTTGTTAACTATAACAGATATTTTAATGTAGACAAAAAAATTTTATATTTGTATGAAATGACTCACAAGCTTTAAATATTAATATTTTTTAACATTTTGTATAAAACAAAAATTAAATGCATCAAGCAAGAAGTATTTTGCTTCACAAATATCATTGATGAAACTATTATCTTATTTATTAAATTTGTCCTCCCACTTTATTTCAATTTTTGTACCATACATATAATGTCAATAAAACTAGAGAAGCAAAATCACAGATTGCTTTTAATGTAATTTTGGAGCTGCCATTTAAAATTTTAACCATATATATCCTAGTTGAAACAATAGTCAACGAGGAACCTCACCTTCGGTATATTACACAGCCTTTCTCGCTCCTCCACATCTAACTGTAATTCATACATACCATTCAATCAAACAACGCTGAGTTTCATTACATAAAAAAATTGTGCTCAACATAGTACCAGGAATAAGGACATACATAACAGAACAATTGTAAAAACTTTGGTTCTCTGGTGAACAATGTGAACAATTTGGATATAAGTAGCAAATATAAATTACAGCTTTAAAAAATCATTACTAATTAGAAATTATGTATCTAGTTTAAAAAGCATAACGAGCTTGTATTTCAAACTTTGGGTTAAAAGACCTTGTATATAAATACTGAACATATCTTTAAGGGAGGACAGCTATAGAAATAAATAATATAAAATTGAATATAATTACTCTTTTGCACAATGTTGAAAATAAAAAGAAGGTAACAATATATCTCTATATGCTGTTTAACAGGTGTGGACTACATGGGAATTACATAAAGGGAATATATGGCTGACTGCAGCTTTTATGTATAGCATTAGTAGATTAATAAGCAAGTTGCATTTAATATTATCATATTATAATATCAGTATACTACTCACCGAATTATTTTGCGAGATAGTGTCCACCTGCTGCATCTTGGCTTCGTTTCTGCAACAAAAAAATATAAATATGTAAGCAACTTTTATAAATAAATATAGTGAAGATTAAAATATCATTGATATCAAATTTTAAATCACATTCTGGGCATACAATAATTTAATTTCCAAAACTCACTTGCGGATAACCTATTTTACTTTGACATTATGTTATGAACTCAGAAAGTACCATATTTTGTAATGCATTTTATAGATCACTGATCATATCTTATTTCCTTTTCTTGAAATTGCAGGATTCATTGTATGAAATGTCAAACTCTGACTGATACAATCACGCTTCACATGTCTTGATATAACTAGATATATTTTATAATGTAACGCTCATTGTGTCCACCGTAATGAGCTTCACCTACCTTTCCGACATATATGGTACATAAATGCTATGCAGCAGGTAACTGCCTTACGTTGATGCTTGACGCTATGAGGCTTCATCAACAATCGAGATGGCAAGGATATATTCTGAATCGAGCATGGTAGCTCACTAATTGCTTGCCAAGATGATTGCGCTGCAACCAGGGAGATTGGTGCCGTGGAGGCATAACACTACTCAAGCCTACCAAATGGTAGTACTTTGAATGTCAGCCCTGTACACTGCTGTGAGACTCCGTACCTCCAGCCAAGACTCGCGACATTAGCAACATCTGGATAACATAACAACAGGACCCCGTATTGTAACAACCCCAAATTGTTTTATTGCTTTAGAGCAAGTTAAACATTGATTTCTTTTCAAATTAGGTATATCTGCATAAATCATTTAACATATCATGCAATACTGAATGTATAAGATACATGCTTGACATATAAATTTTTCCACTTTTTTATACATAGACTGATATTATATGTTTGCTACTATAAACACGTTCAAATTGCTCCTTTAAACATTTTGGCAAATTATTTATGCAAATTTTATAACTCGAAACTACTTTTAATGAAACAACCATAATATAAGAGGAAGTGCATGTATCAAATTAAATAATGGTTATCTGTACTTGAATGTTTTGTAAAGAATGTCTTTTGTATACAACATAAATAAACAATCAAATTTTTGCCTTACTCACAAAAATATAACAAAAGCAGCTAAACTATAACTTTTATAGCCTTTTATACAGCATTGTATTATTTACTATAAATAACATACGATACTATGAGATATACATAGTAAAAACAATGAATAGACCTAAACCTTGTGGTAAACTTCTTATGAATTTAATTAAAAGTATGTATATATTAATCTAAAGTTTATATTTCTATTATTCCTTCGCAACAATTTCGAAATGTAAAGCTAAATAGCAAAAGAGCAAAGAATTTCTTATAACGAAGATACGAAATATCAAGAAGATGCATGTAAATATTATGTACAAGTACAAAAATTTTAAGAAATAGAACGGATCAATCAAGAACAGCGTGTTCAAAGCATAACACTTTTGCTGTACTATGATATTTTCAATCGTGTACAAGAATCAACACGCATACCCTGTTGTTCGAGACCAGTGTAAGCCAAAATGGAAAGTTTGACAAAAGTAGCACAAATAACTGGTACACTGGTGTAGAAAGTGAACTGACTATTAAAATACAAAATTGACAATATACAAGAAAAAAATGATCTCGCGGACAATCATAAGATTTCGACCATGGGAAGCAAGAGCTTCTACCGTGGTGAAGAGGAGCATTGCCAGAACAATCCATGCCGCGAAGACGTTCTATTCGCAGAGGTCCGAGTATCAAGGACAGAGATAAGAGTTCGCGGGTCGAACAGGTGCTCAGTGATTAAAAGTCGACAAAATAAGAAAGGAGAAAGGTGAGATCCACGAGAGACGATGGGAGAGAAGTAAACGCGGTGGATGCGGGAGTGGAAAGAGGAGGAGGACAAGTAGGAGAGGATGGCGAGGGGAAGGGTAGCAGACCCGCGCCCAGCCGATGCACCCAGCCGACGCACAACAAACACGAGCAAGCCGCCGTGTGAGAATCTAGCCGAGCGTTCGACTGGCGCTGAAATCACAACGTTTTTCACATCGGACAATTCTGGCGCGCGCGAATACCCGAGCCGCCTTTTCGGTCACTCGATTTGGCGTAGGTTTCAACATGGCGGTATGGCCGCTCGGGAAAGAAAGCTCTCAAGGGCCCGCCGCTACAGCCGCCACTTACGCACCACCACGGCACACACCACGCGCTATACTTATCATCAACGGATCCAGAGACTCGAAAATTCTTTGTAATCACTTACCTGATCAATGGAAGTCCACTTTCCACAGGAATTTTATCGAAAAACACTACCACTACGTCTTGGACACTCGCACTACGCTTTCTCCCTGCTTGCTAGTTTGGTTGGTCGGTGTTATGGCCGCCGCCGAGTGTGCCCCACCGTATCACTCACTCACTCTCACTCGTACGAGCGCGAGCGCTCGGTTCGCATACGCGACGAACGCGGACGCGGCCCGACCAACTAGTTCCACACTTACGAATGCGGACGTCGATCTCTCGTACTAATATCGTATCAGTGCCCCGTAACGAGCTCCACCGACATTTTCCTGGAGTCTCGTACAATCGGATGGCTTTCCGTGCCCATGACGATCTCGGATCTACAAACTAACGATCGCAGCACCAACAATGGCTACGCATTCTTCCGCGACGTACCGAATGGTCCTGTTCCGCCGTTCCTCGAACACGACTCGACTATCCATTCCCTTCGCTACTCTGCCGCTCCGGATTTGACCGAAATAACCCGAATGAAAAAGCGCCAAATTTAAAATTTCTAGGTAAAACATGCTTTGGAAACGTGTTTTCTTAGAAATTTAATTCTATCAATGAACATTTTGATGATCTTACGATATGACAAAATACTTCCAAGCAATGATTAATAATTTTACATTATTGCCTCTTTTAATGTAAACTTATTTCAGTAACATTATATTAAATGAATAGACTGAATCATTCATTTCTTCTTACAATATTTCCCTGTAAGATTAAAAGACTTAATAATAATGAAGATATTAGAAAAAAAATAAATGAGGGGGTATATAATAAATAAACAGTTTTATTCATAAAATAAGATTATGCTTTATTAACCAATCCAAAAATTAATGGTTAATTTCCATCGTTCCATGTTCACCCATAATGCATTTTTAGATCACTGAAATCATGACCTATAAATATAAACATCGATAAACATTAATACAATAAGAAACAAAATAAGTTTTATGAATATAAACATTCATTAATTTACTTATATGAAATATAACATTAAAATTTATTAATCACCGCGCAAGTCGTGGTCCAATTCCACGATTCTATAACTGCAATGCATTTTGGGACACGCGCAAAATCTATAATTACATGTTACTTTCATTATTAATTTTTGAATAATTTAAATAATAACATTAATAACGCAATATTTAAATAAGTAATTGATACGTAGCAAATTTTACATGTAATTTAAATGATACTTTGTTATGACGTGTACATCGTCATCGTCATAGCAAGTTCCGTTATATGTCCAAAATGGCGAAACATGAACAATTGACCTTTGCTTTGTTTTCATAATTCCGATACAACGGAATCTCTAAGATTTAGAAACATAAAATTACACGAATATTCTAAATAAATCATTCGCGTGTATAACCTATTAAACGTACAAAGTCTTATCAATTTCACAAAGTAAATGCTAACGCAATAACAGACAGTAAACTTATCATGTTAACTACGCTGGTCAATTTGACTATTATATAATTTATAACACATCACTAATTGCATAATTGGATAAATACAACGTCAAACAAATATTATTACAATTCGAGTTGGAATTTATAAAGAATTGTTATCATATGTATTAACACAAGCGACATTGACACTAAACTATAAAATGGCGTCTCTCGGACAAACATGATCACTTTTCAACAGTATGCGTCTCTAGCACGTTTCACTTCCAATTTTCGTACTTGATCACAGATGTAATAGTTTTCATATGTAAGAAAATAACAGTCCAATTTCTAAAAGGTAAGTTGTGTAAAGATAAAGGGGTGTTCCAAATACTTAACATTAACGACCATTTTTGCTTTGATGACGTAATGAAATACGAAAGTCAAGAAAGAAACTAGATATCGAGAATGATGGCGGCGCACACGTAATATCCTTCCGGTTCCTATTCAGCTTTACGCGTTCTCGACAGCGATTGGCTTACATTTGTAGAACTTTTGCTGCAGACCAATCGCTTCAAAACCAATATTGATGAGTCATCCTGTTTAGGATTTTCCGTTGAAAGTTGTGCAATCGTGTTTCATTTTTCCTCTATACGCAAACGTTAAATTAAAAATATAAAAATACCGTAATCGATAAATACGAATATTTAATATGGATTCGTTGTAATAAGAAATGATAAAATATCTTACTTTCATATTTTTACTTATATTTACATTTTTAATATTTGTTTTCTCTTGTTCGATAATAAAAACGATTTAACTTAGTATAAAATAAAAAGGGCGACGCGATTCGTTTGTAGGCGGCATATGTTGTTATAGTATAGTTATCATTCAAATTATTCCCCAAACTTCTTCAAATGCAGTACATAATTTACTGCAAGTTAAAGCTCCAGATAAAGGATAATTACTAATAGATATAGTATCTTCCGTGTAATCTGGCGTTATCTATAATTTATGTAATTTTAATTAAAATAATGATATATAATTATCGTTTTGTTAAATTAAAATACTATATACTTACTTGACCATGAGCCATTGCACCTACTGCAATAGCAATTGGTTCATCTGAAGGTACTAATTCTCTTGGATTTTGTACTTTCTTTGCGCTAAATGACATAGCAATCTTACGACAACCAACTGGTAAATGATCTGTAACTGGATTTTTAATAACTTTCAATAGTTTCATTGGTCCATCAGATGCACGAACGCTGAATTTATGCAACAGCTGCACTGAAAAAATATAAATATAAAATATATTATCTTCCAGTATAATATAATTTCTTGTAAGGCATAATTATGTGTAATTTTTACCCATAAGGCCTGCAAAGCGTTTGAACGTTCTTGGTATCCTCGTTTGAGGATTTACTTCTATCAATACATTTTTTTCTGTATGAACATAAACCTGCAAAAGTCCCGCTCTATTTAGTGGACTATCCATCAACATTAACAGGCATTGATGAGTAATATCTGGTCTACATGAGCCTGCATCACGATTATTTTTCCTTAATATACTGGCGTGGTCATCACAGTTGAGTAATTCAAAACTATTTCCAACCTATAACCATTTGAATTTTCAGTAGAGGTTACAAACTATACTTACATAAATTCAATACTTCATAGTTTACTACACAGGATGTCAAAATGTTATCTTAAATATAAACAAAATATAACCTTACTTTAACAGATTCCAATTGAGCTTTCTCTAGAATAACAATTAATCGCTTCTCCTGATGTTTTATGTGTGCTATCTGAAGATGTTTAGGAGCAGGGTCATATTCAAAATCATCTTTCCCAGAACGATTTTTGCGCTTTTGAGACATTCTTTGTATTTATTAAAATTACAAAATCACAATTCAAGCTTGCACGTGAGCTATCATGGCATTGTACAGTATTGTAGTTCAAGTAATTGCTGTCAGAGGACAATACTGTACAGTTACATTACCGACTAGTTTTAGGCAAAATTTCGGAAAACCGTCATGCTCCGATATTGACCAAATTTTGCAAATAGGTTCTTCTTCGCAAAAGAAGATATCTGTGAAAATGGTTTTTGGTGATTCGAAAGAAAATTTGTTATCATTCTTATGTCATTCCCTATATCATCGACGATTTCCTTAGGCAAATTCTAATTACCCTAAGGGTTTTTATAGAGTTTGTTTTTCTATATTTAAAATAGCCAATTAATAATAATTTTCAAAAATAACTAATTTATTGAAATTGATTTTAAAATTTGTGGTTTTGATATAATTGAACATAAATAAAATTGAATATCAAATACAAATAAAATTCTTCTTTATCGACGGCTTGAAAATAAAACTCCTCTTGACCGACGACGACTCCGATGATCACCACATTTATATGGAGAGTGTTTTTAAATAAAATTCTTCTTTATCGACGGCTTGAAAATAGAATTCCACTTGACCGACGACGACTCCGATGATCACCACATTTTTGTTTTATATACCGCCATCTAGCGACAGAAGATGCGAACTAATTAAAGTACTGCTTCAAAAGTGTGTAGTTCACCCTGTTCGCCGGAGAGATGGCGCCACTTGTTCCATTTTTTATAATAATTGAATTAATACTGATTTTATTGATTAATGTGCTACATATTTATCATATGATTATTAATATCGATTTTATATTGTTTGCAATATATTCCGTGGGTCCAATGATGTGGATATACATCTTTGCAAAATATTTTTAGCTTTAATAAATTATGTTATAAGAATACTATATTTTAGTCGTTCTAATATATGAAATTGGGCATTCTTACATTTTAGTTACAAATATAATCATTAGGATAGAACAGTATACAGGGAAAAGAAGTGTTCCATGAAAAAGTAGTTTGATCTTATTGACTGTATTAATATTTATACTGATAATATGAATATTAATATTAAACATTAACTATAAATTATATTGTGATGTTATCAAGCATAGTTTAACATTTCGAGAATTGCAGATATATCACTAAAAAAAGTATCAATAAACAAGATAAAGCAACAATTCAACAATAAACTAATCAACAATAAAAATGTTCGATTTCCAACAGACAGGTTTATCTCCTAAAAGTGAATCCTTTTCGACGGCTCTTTATGTCAACCAGCTGTTGTGCCTGTTTCTTAAGAGCATTTCTGGTTGGTATCTCTTCCTCTTCTTCCGAAAGTATCGTTGCTGGTGTTGTAGAGGACGGAAATCGTGGAAACAGCGGTCCTCCATTCGAACGTGCCACTTTTCCCTCTACCGATGTCGTTGTAATCGATACTGTTTCTACCTAATTCGATAAATTATCAAATTTAAAAATACACCGTTTACACAATAGTTTTATCTGAATAAAAATTACAATGACATGTTTCATTTTCTTCTTTTCAGATGTTATACAATAATAATATTGCTTTTTACCTTATCGATTACAATTTCGTTCAATACTTCCAGATACTTGTCGGGTCCACCTAAGGTTTCGATTATGCTCTTCGATTTTTCGTTCATCAAATCTATCAGTTCCAAGGGATTTTCAATTTTACTTGGCTCCTCAGGCAAATTGTCAATAATATCCTGAAATTTGTTCCTTAAAAAAGTAATTTTAAAGAAACAATGCAATATATTGTAAGGATACTTCTTACTTTGTAAAGATCGATGCACTCTTATAAGATGAGTTAACATTTCTGCTTGGTTTGAAAGCAATCAGAACTAAATACAAGAATTACAAGATGGCGACTGCTGCTACCAAAATGTTCCAATCTTTCACTTTCAAACTATCGCAAGTGATTCAAAAGTTAAAATTTTTGTTCAGTGTTATTGTCGAGAAGAAAAAGTTTCTTCAATGTCCGAAACCTCCCATGTTCTTTCAGAAAGTCAAATTCTTCTCCATTACTATTCCGTGTTTGTACACGCCCAACAGAGAATTGAAAGAAGACACAGAGTATCGGAAGGTGAGTTAACGAGTTAGGGCGGCACGTACAGATTTCTAGGGATCGATTGAATCAATAATTGATTTTCTCGCGGTCAGACGTGCTACCGAAGTGTTTACTTTCGATCGAACGTGAAGGTGTTAATGCGTAGGACAGCGGCTTCCTCAGGTGAGAATTACAGGCAAAGATCGTTGAAGAGAGTTCATTGGTGAATGACGAGCGAGGAGGATGAACGTCGATGGGGTGTTAAATCGCCAGAGACAATATAATTGGTACGGAAACTCCAAGCGGTTCCATTACCGTAAATGCCATCGGAGGCGGCTTTACTAATTCAATTAGGAATTTACACGGTATTTCCATCGACCATTTTAACCATCACAACGGCCATTCCGATGGGATTTGATTTTCTGTATGCTTTCCTTGAAAAGTGTTAATTCGACGCGACATCCTTTCGCGTTTATTGAACGAACGTATGTTAATTAAACACTTTTTGTTACTACAAAAGCTAATCACTGATTGCTGATTGTCGTAAAGATAAAACTAATTTCTGATACTCACTTTCGATTGAACAGCTGAATATTTCGTTACGAATAAAATTCAGATTAAAATTTAGTTTCTTAATTTTGCTCAGAGACATTGCTATTAATTGTTTAATTATCTAGGCATATGAAAGTGAATGAGGTTCTTGATTATTCGAATATAAACTTTCAGCTTTTATCTACAAGTCATTTTAAACTGAAAACGGGAGGAATATACCAAGGTTGAGTTTCAGTCTTTCTGACCATACATGCCCCTTTAAGTCGGTTGATCATTTCATTCATTGATGATGAGTCAAGAACACCTGACGTGGCGAAGTACGTCGAAAAGTTACTCACTCGAAACTTATTGCACACGTTCCACAAAGTCGTAGTTATTTCTCGCAGAAGATCCTCGACCCTTTGTCTTTCCGTTTCTGCCTTTAATTGACGCGCTCGTTGCTCATCGATCTGGCTGTTCAACGTTTCCACTTCTTCCGCGTTTCTAAGATGCACGGCGCGCAATCAAAAAGATTAAGAAACATAGGATGCACCCTGTGAAGGATATGCAGGAAAAGGATTCTTACTGTTCCGCGTTCTTCGTTTCAGAGAACTTTTTCGTCTCCATCTCGGCGATCAGTTCTTGTCTTTGCTTTTCTAACGCCATTTTCTCTTGCTCCGTGGCCAACCGCATTTTCTGTAGATTATTCTTGGTCGCCCGCTGACCCAGAAACCGGTTCAGAACGTCCTCGGACCTGGACACTCCGGTGGCGCTGCGAAGCTTGGAGAACGCCTCTTCCAGTCGTGTCACCTCGTCCTTGGTAATGTCCTCTGTGGGCACCACGCGACTTTTCCCACGTGTGTCGAAATCGTCTCGGGAACGCGAATGGAATATCATCTTTTCCAGTCGTTCGAGTTCCATCTTTCGTTCCAATACGCGTCGTCTACCATTCAGCAAAGTTCACGAATAGGAAATCAAATTAAATGCTTACTTAAAAAAAATTCAAATTATTGGATTCAAGAATTTTAATTTCAAATATCAGTATCAAGAAAAGTTAAACATTTTTAAGCCATTAAAGAAAAATTCATTTGATTATGACATAATTTATAAACTTGAATAATTTTTCAAAGAACAATGAATTTTGTACTTAGACGAAGTTTTGTACAAGTTACTTATGTATTGCTGTTCATTATTTAACCTTTCGAATGTCCATAGAAATAAAGGAAGTGTATAATCAAGTTATAGGGGTAATAACTACGTAGGAGTAAAAACATTTTGAGTAATCTGTTTTTGAATTAAACTTTAATACCATTTGAGCGCTCGAACCTGTATTCCTCGAGTACAGCATTTCGTTCTTTGCTGCAGTTTGTAACTTCAATTTCCTCCTTTATCAACGTCTCCTGTGTGTTATCTCTTAACGTAATGGCTTCTTCCTTCACTCTCTGCTCAGAACATGTTTACGCTGATTTTGTGTTACGATGTAAATCTTGTAAAGTAATATTTCTGTCAAACTCGTGGCTTGCCTGTAGACGTTTCATTTCATTTTCTTGCTCCTTGATTTCGTCCTCTAAGTTTTTTAGAGATGACGCGTAAAACACTGATTTTTCCTTCAAATCGGAACGCATGGAACGATACTTCATTCGTACTATGTTCGCCTTGATTTGCATCATTCTGACGTGCTCCAAACGTACCTCTAGTTTCACAATTTTCTGTTTTTATGGTGTAGATATATGGAAATGTAAAACATTATCGATGGTAATAAAGGTGTGTAAAATATTTTAAACAATATTTATTAGGATATATTTTGTTTCGTTTTCCTGACTTACAGATTTCAACGGGTTCTCGACTTTTTTCTTGAACAACTTCTGCATTTTATCGTTCATCAATTGGCCATATTCCTCCAGTAGCAGGTGTAATTTCTGCTGTCTCTAAGAAATATTTACACGAAATTATAGTTGTACGTTCGTGCGAAGTAATCCTCGGGAGATTGTTATCTGTTTGCTTACCCTCTGGCGTTGATATTTAATTAGATCGTGCCTCTTTCTTAAGCGTACATTGTCCTCCTCCGCTTTAGCAATTGTCTCGCTTAAATTGCGTTTTTTCTCATGAGCCGACGACTTGCGTCTCATGTGAACCATGCTTTCCGATTTTCCCTCATTCTGAAACATATATGGCGTATAGATTCTTCGAAATTTTGTTCTTTCATATCCCTTGAAATATTACATTTTTCAAGTTTGCGTACTCCTGGTAAAGCTCCTTGATGCTCCGTTTAAGGACCGCGATGGTGTCCGCGTACTCATGCTTCTTGACTTCGTATTCTTCGAAATTCGCTTTCCTTTGTCCCTCTGTTACACGTTTCTTTATTAACACGTCGCACCTCGTGCACGAATCTTGATAAGCATCTATTCCTCGTCGGGAAGACTTATGAATAAGTCTCTGCCTATTCTCTATATGGGATTTACGCGGCTATGGAATGTCGTTTCTCATCGAGATGCAACTCTATTTGTCAATATGCTGAATTTCAGCCGTACAGCTCCGACTACGAGTTATGAGTGTTCATCGTATGTATGTCGAACACGCGAAAAATCATTAAAATGATCTTCGTCAGGAATGAAAGTCTCCGAGGCTTTGGAGAAAACTACGAAATAATTTACGACTTGTATGACCACGTTCCGTTATGCTTTCTTGTACAATCTTTTTCAAAAATTTAATCATTATTTTTACGTTTTCATGGACATAAATTAAGATAATTAACTTATAAATCAAGATAAGACGGTTCTCGTAATAATAGCCAAAGGATCGAACAAATACAAGTCGTGACTGAACTGGTGGTTACGATGCCCTAATCATCGTATTTTGCATGCATACTTTGGAAAAAGTAAATTACCTAGATTATCTAAATTGATGTCACGATTTTCCTTAAAAGTTCCCTTAAGGCAGGGATTAAAAAATTTTGATGGGTCAAGACCCACTTTCGTGAACTATTCACGCGACCTACATTGAGGTTCAAATTCTGAAAATTCAGAAATTCAAAAATCACACAAACACGTTTACAAGTAAAATTATTTCGTAATTAAAGTTTCTCAAGTCATTGTATCAAGTTACGGGTAAAATATGTTACAAAAAACTAATTATCGGAGATTGGCAAATCAAGTCCTGATTAAGATAAAAAATGTACGATCATTTTAGCGTAACAATAATTTAGAAGGAAGGCAACTGTATCGTTATAGGAAATAATATTTTATAGCAATGCTCAAGACCGTGAACTAAAATTATACTTGGACTTGCTCCGCTACATCTAATAGAAACGCTAACTGGAATATCCATTTTATAATTAGCGTTTGGATATCTCTGCATCGATAAGCCAGTAGTGATTTAATTTTTTTCACCAAGGATCTACTTATGTGACACGACCGTTTCTTTCCGAACTCTAGTCTTTCCGGTTAAACGTGTTCTTATGTATCTTCGTATGCAATCAGGAACTCGCATGTGAAATAAACGTTAGCGAATTGTTTTCTTTTTCGCGACTAAATTAAACGGATGACAGCCACAGTGCGGCAAATACACGAATATTAAACCGCGATTAAGTAAACTGATTATAGCGTCGTTTAACGAACGGTTTTACCTGACAGCTGGATCTTTTTCTTAATCTCTGCAATTTTCTTGTTTAAATCGTTCAATTTATTCTCTATAGTAGGTGTCAACGGATCGGACATGGCCGTGCAGATTACTCGAAAATTCACATGGTACTTATCGACTCAATACCTTGCGTTGTCTTGACTACGGTATTATGTAGATTCTAATTCCTTCTGTCATGCGCAAACCTGCGGTTTATAACAGCGATCAAATTATTTTCTTTCATATCATCCAACTTTGCATTAACTTTAAGAGTTTCCTTGCTTTGTCTGCTATTTTTATATCGTGTTCACATTTCTGATGATTCTTTGCCTGTTTTGTGACTTCCCAATTTATCTACTTCTTCAAACTATAAACAAGCTTTTTTTCAAACTACATTACTTTACTGACTTTAACCTGATTGACGTAGACTACAAAAATAATATTTTCGGTTCTGAGTATTTTAATTAAATTCTGTAACTTGTCTCGCAATACTAACTTCCACAAAAATTAGCGATCCACGTGGACATTTATGACGTCAAAGGTTCTCGGAATAAATCTGGTGATCTTATTAAGGTAACGACACATGCCTGCGCATATTATGAAAAACTTTAAAAGACATAATCCTGATTCCAAGTATAACCATAAAAAGCTTCGGAAACAAGTTCTTCAATTGAGACATGGCCTGTTCGCGATCCTGCGAAAGAAAACTTCGTCGCTGTTGATGGCGTAATATTTTGCGCGACAACGCATCGCTTGGGCAGATGTTTGCGGTTCGATGATAGGGTTAATCGTTCCATTAATAAAAACTAACGACCGCCTTGTATTTACAGTTTCGTGCGCGTATCTCGTGCGTTTCAAAACGACAAAAGGGGAAGGCAATTCGTAAGACTTCGCCTCGTTGAATGGACTTAAGAGAGGAGAGGGCACCGAATTATAATTCCGCATTTGTATTCGTTAAGGCAGCAGCCGCGCCTGGCGGCGGCTATACTGGCGATGAATTTCGCGTTACACGCAATCAACCGCTGGAAGGTTAATTAATGATCAGACATTCTCGGCCAGTGCTCGACGGGACTCATACACATCGGCGTCTTGCCACTTTATAACTGACCACGTTCGTTGCGTTCCGTTTGCCGCTTGAATTCTAGAAAAGCGTCACGCGCGACGGCGTTAGATTTCAATTCAACGGAGAATCAGGGATCGGATTTGCATTTACGCCTCGATTTCGCGAAGCTCGAGTGATAAACAATCGACGACAGCTGCAAGAAGCCTAAACTTACCAGTGAAGTGAATATTCCTATACTGATTTTTAAAAAGTTATTATTTTATTCTAAGTATTAAAGTGCAACATTAATTCATTTTTAATTTTTACTTAAAGTGAATTGTTAATAATTACAATTGCTTTCTTTAAGCGTTTTTAATAGTTTTATTCTATACTTGGTTATATATGGTAGTTAAGATCATTCTTCTGGAGGGATACATAGTGAAAATGTTTGTTATTTAATATTTTAATAAGAAAGAATCATATTTTCTTCGTGCAATAATATTTATATTTTAATCAAAATACAATATAAAGTAACCCTATTTCATATAAGAGTATTGTATAGCAGTGGTAAATATCGTATTTAAAATTTGAAAAAATGCGAATTTCAGACATCTAATAAATTCCATTGGCGCGAATAGTTTGAAAGGTGCGCTACGGTCCGATTCCAGTGTAGCGGCGTTCCTATTGGCTGGCGTCGTCCGCCATCCTACGACGGCGTAGTGATACAGCGGTTCGAGGCAGGTGCGCGCGCACCGGGGAACTACTTTCAGCGCGTTAAGCGAACAATAGGGATCCCAGAAGTGTTTCGGACGCGGTCGTGTTCGTGTACGGTTGCCGTATGCTTTTTTCTCGTATTGCCTCGCGTAAACGTGCATACACTTTTGCTAGACGTAGCCGGAGGTGACAGATTACGGACAATGTGCGTGGTCAAGTGACGGTACGCGAATTTAATACTGAAGTGTGCCGAAGTGTTGGTTCTCTTTAGTGTGTGCGCCCGGGCCTCGATGAGTGTGTGTCTATTCGATGTGTGTGGATAAAATTCACGGCATCATGTTGCCACGACGAAAATTGGATTACACATCGATGGCGTGTTTCCTACTGCCCCTGCTCGTGCTTGTTTCTCTTCCTGCTGTATCCGGTGAGTGTAATAATGCATCTTTTCTCGATATATTCCGTGCGCGTTCTCTCGTGAGTCAATTTGAAGTCGTTGTACGCCACATGTCGCTGCTAGGCAACAGGTCACCTAACAAACGCTAAGCGCCGGCGCAATAGACGCTCCAATCTTAAGTGACATTTGACGTTTTTTTCGAACGTTTTCTTCGTTAAACATTTAAAAAATCGTTCGAGATTGACTCGCCGAACGATCAGAAAACGATTTCGTTCGTGTAATTGGTATTCTAGAGTGATGTCGAGGATCGTGGTGCTCGCTTTCAATTACTACCTGTCTCGAAAATATTGACCATGTCAGTTCGCTCCTGCTGACTGACGCTTCTTTCTTTCTCCAAAACGAATGCTTTACGAAAGATTTTTCTTTTCTCGCATTCTGTCGTTGATAAATTCATACAACGTTCGTAACGTCGAAGAACAAGTAAATGCTATCGACAATAAAATTAAAGCTATCGTGCTATGATAGAGTTTATCTTTTGTCAATGTTCGAAGAGAAAGTTTTCTCGCATTTTATTTTCATCGTACTCCTGCTGTACGTGTGTCTTAGCCTTCTCGAATACACGTGGTTATGTTACTGTCACAGTGGTGCTCAATTTCGATGCTCTTCGACGAACAAATACGGTTAGGTTGGTAGTCCCTGAGGGACATAGGGATCCCAGAAGTGTTTCGGACGCGGTCGTGTTCGTGTACGGTTGCCGTATGCTTTTTTCTCGTATTGCCTCGCGTAAACGTGCATACACTTTTGCTAGACGTAGCCGGAGGTGACAGATTACGGACAATGTGCGTGGTCAAGTGACGGTACGCGAATTTAATACTGAAGTGTGCCGAAGTGTTGGTTCTCTT